CCAGTTCGCAATTCACGATTCTCATTCGGTTCGTTTTACTGCCACTTCACTCCAGCTAACCCCTGCCACGCCCCCTTTTATGCACCCTTACCTCCCATACAACTCCCCCGTTTTTGCAGCACCACCCACACGCTAAAGTTGTGTGTCCTTGCACGCTCGTTTCCTGTTCGTTTTGTTGGCCTGTTCGTCCTGTGTGCGACAACCCACGATTTCTACGCCTCTCCTCCTCCTCATCCTTCTCCTCCTCTCCCTTTACGCCTGCCACACTCTTCCTCGCCCTCCCCTCTTTCATCGCCCTGTTCGTTACACGCCCCGTTTCGGTTCAGAGTTTACATTTTATGTGTGTCCTTTTTTTTTCGCACAGTTTTCTTGCCCAGGCGAGAGACCCAACACCTCCCAATTCTACCTCCCAAAATTTCCCACTCCCTCTGCCATTTTCCTCCCGAAAACTGGTTGGCAATATATCCTTCACGATAATGTATTCCAGCCTGAGAGAAGTGCAAAACAAGAATAACAGAATCGGCGCAGAGTTTTTGTTTCATTTCCAGGGGGCTTTCTTGTTACAAATATTATTTACAACCTTAAACAAAGAAAGTAATTACTTTAACATTGGTTATAAATATACAAAAGTACAAGTATCTTTAAACAAATACAATTTTGTTTCGGTATATATTTTTCCTTACGGTTAAAGAACAAAACCCTTACCAAATTAATTTAATGTACTATTATAGTTAAATGTACTATCAAACTTGTGGAAAATTTGGATAATTGAAAAATGTTTGGACAGTCTAATTGACTAAATGCACAAAAAAACCTTTATTGGGTTAATTTTTTTTAATGTTCTTAAGTGTTTGGGAACTATTTTGTTTGGTTATTTTTGTTCAGCCAAGTTGCTTGCCTACTTACTTATTAGTTAAATTTATGCAAACTAGTATATATAAGTGTGAAAATAACTTAATTGAGTTTGCAATTAATAGTTAAAAGTAAAAATAAATTACATATTGCCTGAGTACTTCCTTTTATAACTTCTTGCCAAGTAGTTTCCCTTTATTAAAAGCCTGTAAAGCAATCATTTTCCTTTGCAAAGCTCATTTTTAAAGTCTTTATTTCACACAATTTAAAAGTTAAGAAAATACTCCGTTTAAATAAATTCTGCGCTAAATCGTTTAATTGGACCATTTGATTAAATTAAACGATTATGCACATTTTATTGCCCAGTTTCAATAGGTGAAAATTCAATTCATGGTAAGAGCATTAAAGGCAGTTTGAAAATGGCAGTGAAAATGATCAAAATGAATGGAGAAAGATAACAAGGCAGATTAAAGTGCTGCATGACGATGACGAAAAACATTCACTCCTTGTTTAGAATTAAAGTTTAAGAAGAGGTATTAAAAGAGGAAACAAATATATGTTTTTCTTTCTACGAAAGTAGATTTTTATGTTTTTTAAGACATCAATGGAATTTAATTCTTAAATAATTGTTCTAAGTAATTTAAAACTTGGTTGAACTTTTAAATATAAAAAAATTCAGTAAATTGTTGATTTAATGCGGTAATTGATAGTTTAGTAATAAAAGGATCCAAAATTTTAGTTTATATAATTACTATTATTATATTGAACAGTATTCTATTAATATTTTGTGATTTAACGAGTAAGGCGCGCCAAAAATCTGAAAAGTCAATGGAAACTAAAACCCAGAGCAGTAATTGATTAATAAAAAAATGGAAAAAAAGAAGATGAACTGGAACTTGTTGCTGCAGCTGAAGTGGTTACTTTTTTGTTGTTGCTGCACTCGATCTGAAGGCGTTGCAGAAGCGTTGAAAGGGGAGAGGGGTTAAAGCACAGGGGATGGGGAAACGAGACTAAAGATCGCGCCAGACGATGACGCAGACTGCAGGCTTGCTGGACGCTGAAAAAAGTGGCCGGGGTATATGGCTTTTTGAGTCAATAACCTCACTCACTCTACAAGAAAGAAAACGAGTAAGAGTCAGAAGCACTCACGCCTCTCTTTCGCACACATTCCCACACTGGATGGGGCAAAAAAGCCGCCACCAACAATAGGGCAAAAAAGAACAAGAATCCAGAAGTAGAAGAATCCGCAGAAGTTAAGTCAGAAAGCCAGAAGAACCTATCTTGTACATAAAATCAAAAAACCCCTAGAATTCCGGAGCATGAGAAGCGATTCAAAAAAATACAACCAATCTTTTGTTTGTGATTGTGTGAAACTCAAAAATACTTAATATTAAACTTGACCTACAGCTCCAACAATTACTGCATTCTTAATTGAAAATATCTAGTAAAATAACCTGACTCATATTTGTTAATTACAGTTCAACTTTACTAAGTAACATTTCAAACTGCCAGATATAAAAAGACACAATTTTCAATGGCAAGGTGTTCTGATAAAAGATTATTGTTTAAAATTATAAGAACAATTTTTTTTTGTAGATTATTTTAAAGAAAAAAAAAACTCTTTTAGCTTTATAAATCCTTACCTTTTAGTTTACTAGTTATCTATTAGTTATTAAACTAACATTAAATTGGATTTTTAATCAATTGATTAGCTTTTCGAGCTTATTAAACAAAGAAAAAACAGACGTAAATTATTGTTTAACGACAAATCAAACGAATAGGCGGCGATATCTGAGTTTGTGTGGGTATTTAAGGTATAACATGGAGGCAAACACACACATGGGCACACAAATAAACCAAGAAAAAAGGCAGGGAAAAAATACAACAAATAAAAAAGAAATAGAGGCAACTCATGAGCGGTGGACAGACAGTCGGCCAATTGAGCTAGAGAGAGAAGATAATCAAGAGCAAACAACAATGGGTATTTCAGAGGGGTGGGTGATAAAGGGGATATGAAGGGGGTGGGGTGGGGTGGAGTGACGCCAGCACAATATGAGAAGAATTTCACATTTGTTCGCTGCTGTCACTCACAAATATTGATGTGAAAAGAGAGAGGTAGAGGGAGTGAGCAGAGACACAAACATACACAGTGCAAAAAGAAATAGAAACAACAAGAACAAGAACAACGCACACACCTTACCAATAGCCTGCGTCGACGTTGAATGCGCTGCCGCCCCGCGACGTCGGCAGAGGCAGCGAAGTGTGGCAGTGTCAAAGACAAATGCCCGAATCATATTGCTTACTCCCTTTCTCCACCTTTCACCCTCCCACTTGCGGTTTGGGTGAACCCAAAAGCAAAGCCCAAGTCGAAAAAAAGAAGAAGACAAAAGGCAAAGTTTTACAGTGCTACTTCCGATAAAGCCAATCTTACTTGAAAGTGCAAGTTAAGTGGGATTACAATTATTTAAGGTAGGAGACCATTCAGAAGCAATGTTTAAACTATAATTTGAATGTATTTACCTAGTCCATTACATACTATCTCAAAGATACCTATACAAGTTTGATTAGCTTATAAAATAATAGAGTAATTTTGAAGATAATAAAAGTCAATTTGTGTTTTAATCTTCTATTTAGTGAGATATATTGAACTTTGTTATAAACAATACATTTTCTTAATTACATTCCTTTTAATATTAGTCCCATAGCAAGTTTCACTGTATCAAGCCGCTAAGTCCGTTTGTTTTATTTTTTTCTTGTTATAAATTGGCAGCGCTCTTTCGCAGACTCCCCCCTCCCTGTCTCTCTTCGACTGCCACCCCATACCCTCTCCACTGTTAAGAGCGCACATCTGTCGCCTGCCGATGCGTAACAACAAAAAAACCAAAAGAAAGCATGAAAAAAAGAGTGCGCAATTACAGTTATTAGTATGCCACAGTGAGCCCCACCTTAGCGGGCTAAACGTTGGCTCATTAAAGTGATTAATACCGGTAGAACTAATAATAAGAAAAGTAATGACAAAAAGAAAAGTGCAATTATCAACCACTGTGCGTGGCAACAACAAAACGGAGTAGCGCCCTCTCTCTTCCGCCCGCGCTCTCCCTTTGCGTTCCATTTCCACTGGTCCGCCGCCGCTTGCGGTTCCACTGCTCTCCGCACTCTCCACACGCTCATTCGCCGCGAAATCACAAACACAGACGGACGCGTCGTTGAGCGGCGCTTGTAAATATTTTGTTAATTGTACATTTAAATCGAAATAAATCGCGCAAAATGCAAAAGCCAGTGTAAACAAATGCCATTAACTGCTGTCGCAGCACAAGTAATAAAAACAAAGGCAATTAACAGCCCAAAAAACAACAGCAGACAGCTTGTCTGTTAAATCTCCATAAGGAAAAAAAGCGAGAGAACTTTACAAATTTCATGAATGAATTGGCTTAAGTGGTGAAAAAACCCCCTACTTAAAAAAAAAAGTGCAAAATGCTGTGAACGGAATTTTTCTCTTTTTTCGCCTTGTGTATGCATTGCCTGCAGTCTACATGTGTGTGTGGGTGTCTCGGATTTTCCTTATATTATTTTTCTTCTTTTTTTGTGGCAGTGCTAAATGTTGCGCATGACTTGAAAAAGTTCAAGTTTTCTTCGCTTCGCAAGAGGGATTTTTTCTTTTATTGTTTAACAAAATGCAATTTTGTGCGTAAATTTCGAATTCGCCGGCGAGCTGCGCGATGAATTCGCCTCTCTGCCACCAAAGTGCAGGTGTATTAGTAAGAAGAGCAACTTCTGCTTCCGTTTTGTGCGTGTGTTTGTTTGTCTCTCTCACTGGCTTGTAGTTTTTTAGTTTTGTTTTGCTTTTCATATTTCGACCGATTCTGCTTTGTGCTCGAGTTTCGCCCAAGCGTAGCGGCATTGCCAACACAGAGAGTGGAGTAAAAGGCGAAGAGCGAAAGAAGTTAAAAATCGAAACCGATTGATGAATTGTATCTTTGGAATTGCAAGTGACTTTAATTACAATAAATCATAAATCAAACAAACAATAATTTGTTACTTTATTTTTAAATTTTTACCAGTAACATTGTTTTATTTTGAATTAATGAGCCATTTTTCAATTTAAAATAATCTCTTCAATAAATGTTTCTTAATTATTTTTTTTGCAGACTCCTAACGCATGTTACGCACAACTGTTTGTCCTAAAAACTAGGAGATTTTGAACATGAACAAAAATGCCGGCGATGGCAGCGATGGCAAAAACTCAAATAAAAACTCAAATGCGGGAGGGGGTGCTGGAGCCGGGGGGCCACATGACCCCACCGGCCTTCTAGATGCAGCTTCCCTATTTGGTAAGTCATTAAATAATACGGTATTTTAATGTGATTTTAATTGATATTTTCTCCTGTTTTAAGCTTACTGGGGACGTGATCCAACTGGAGCGGCAGCTGCAGCAGCCTCCAATCCACTGTTCAACTCGCAGTTTAATGCCGCCGCTGCTGCAGGATTGGGTTTATTGCCTCAAGCCGGAGGCGCTTCTGCCAATGACCGTTATTCGATGGCCGCTGCAGCCGCGGCGGCGGCGGGCGCCCATCATCACCAGAACACGATGGCAGTGGCCGCTTCCCAGGCCGCCAGTTTGGCCGGTTTGCATCCAGCAAGTGAGTAAAATGTCGGCACATTCCGTATTTTAGTAGTGCGCCCCAAGATGCTGAAATTACGATATAAATTAGCGACTGCTTTGGCGCAGAGCGTTAAAGCGCGGTCGTCCCATGAATCATCATAAAAATACACGCGAGTTCGATTTTCGCTTGGTTGCAAAAAAAACTTGTTATCTAAAAATTAGTTCATGTAATTTATATGGAGTTATAACAGCAAATGTCTTGTTTATCGTGCAAAGCATTTGAAGAAAACACTCCTAGAGCATTACGTTCAGTAGCTGGCTGTTAGCTTTACACTGGCCTTACCGCTTTTCCCTGAGCAGGGCAGTGAAAAATGGTTAGCACAAATATTTTGATATATTTCTTAATTTTTTTTCCACATAGCAAGTAAATGAAATTACTTTTTAAAAGTAAATATAGTTGATAAAAGTAGTTATGTAGTTATTGAAATGCTTATTAAAAACAAGACGACTCTGCGATCTATGAATATTTCTTTAAACTTTTAATTAAAAATAGATGAAACCTTAATTCAATTATGCGTCAAGTCGCTGAAAGATTAATTAATAATAATACAAACCCTTTTCCAACTTTCTTTTTAATCCATTTACAGGCTGGTGGTCGATGGCCCAGCTAGCTGCCCAGGACTATTTTAGTCGCCTGCAGGCCTCGGGTCTCTCGCCTTTTCCCCATCCCGATCTGGCGGCTGCCTTTGGACCAGCTGGAATGGGAATGGGTGGTGGTGGTGGAGGTGGGGGTGCCGGGGGCGGAGGAGCAGGTGTACTCGGACAAGGTGGCGGCGGAGGAAATGGTGGAGGAAGTGGCAATGGTGGCTCGTCATCCAGTTCCTCGGGCAGCAAGTCGAACAAGTCGCGAAAGGAGAAGCGAGCTGCCCAGCAGCAACAACAGCAACAGCAGAGCCTGGCCAATAGCCTGAATGCGGCAGCAGCGGCGGCAGCAGCAGCAGCGGCCAATAATCCTGCAGCGGCGCTGGCCAGTATGCACGGATTTGGAGTGGGAGTGCCGGGAACCAGCATTCCGTCGGTAAGCACTGGAAGCGGTTCGATATCCACCAACAGCGGAGGTCACGGGGGTTACAAGGTGAGATATACTACCATAATTACTAATGTAATCAATATAACTAAGACATTTATCTCATAGAGCACGGCCAGCGCCTATGGAAAACCGTCGACCATGACGAGTAGCAGCATGGCAAGCAATCCTGGCTCTGCCTACGATCCGGTGACCCTGCACAAGGAGCTCCTGGCCATGCAGGCCGTGGCAGCCGCCGCTTCAGGCTCGGGGTCAAGTGGTTCGTCCGGCAAAAAGTCCAGTGGAGGAGGTTCTTCCTCCTCGATGCATGGCCATGGTTTGGGAATGGGCAGCGGCGGTGGCCTGATGTCCAGTGGCAAGGCATCGACCAGTGTGAGCGCCAGCAATTCATCGTTGGGAGGTATGCATCCCAGTCTGGCTAGCAGCAATCCGCTGATGTCGCCACACGCGGGATTAGGCTCCTCGTCTTCTTCATCCGGCAAGGACCGGGACAAGAACAATCCCTCGCTGAACGCCCTTAATTCGCTGTCGCAGTTTGGAGCTTTGGGAATGACGCCACAGCAGAGCATGCAGGCGGCAATGAATGCGTTTGCGGCTAGCACAGGTGTATCACCATCCGCCACGGTCACCTCCTCGCCGCATCACTCCTCCCAGCAGCAGCAAATGGGCGGTAACACTTCAACGTCGGGATCCGGGGGCAAGTCCAACGCCAAGGATTACATGATGGGGTAAAAGAGATTTAATAGTTCAAATATATTTACAAAAACTAAATATATTATCCCTTAACAGCACTGGTAGTGAGCACCCTTCCCTGCTCGGAGTTCGTTTACCACCGGACACGGAGATTATCAAGTACACGTCCTCGATTGTGGGACCCAAAATACCTGGTACTACCTCGCGCGGTCGCAAAAAGACAATTTCCGAAACAGAACAGCAAACAACACAACAACAACAGAAACAACACCAAGCAGAACAACACCTACTCCAACAACAGCAACAAGCACAAGCACAAAAAGAGCTGGACAGCACCACAAATGCCATTTCCTCTCTGCTTGCATTTCCAGGGCTCAGTCCCGCGAAACGGGCCAGACTCGAAATGGAGTACGCGGCAATGGCGGCGGCCGCCCAGCATCAACATCAGCAGGCCCAACAGCAACACCAGGCGCAGCAGCAACTTCACGGTATGTTGGGGGCAGCCGGAATCCCAGGAATGGCTGGTCTGGTCGGCCTGCCGGGCATGAGCGGTAATCCCCTCGATCAGTTGACTGTAAGCAAGGCCAGCTCCTCGTCGGCGGCCACGACCAGCACCAGTTCCTCCTCGGCAGGAAGCAACCTGCTCAACCAGAGCTCCAGTGATCGCGTCGAGGTGATCAAACTGCCACCAACTATCACTTCCAACGGGGCCTACAACCTCTCGAGCAAGGGAAAAGAGGTGCACGACCTCACCACCGATCTGGCGCCCACTTCGGGAGGTGTGAATCTCAGCCTGAAGGCTAATGCCAACGCCTTGACACCCAGCGGAGCAGTTGGCTCAGCCTCGAATCCCATCACCATCGATGACTTTGATGCGCCACTTAATCTTTCCATGAAACCCTCGGATAAGAGCAACACTAGTTCCTCAACTCCGGCAGGAGGAGCCTCCTCCTCTTCTAGTGCAGCGTTGGCAGGGCTGGCCAGCGAATATCAGGCAGGCGCCAGTGGCCAAGGCGGGAATAGCCTGCAGAGCTTGAGTTCTATAACGGCTGCCTTGGGAGGAGCTGGAGGTATGCCAGGTGGCTCCATCTCGGGCAGTGGAGGAACGTCTCCGGCTCCAGCAGGAGCTGGCACAGGAGCCACTGGTGGCTCGGGATCTGGTTCCGGAGGAGGATCGTCATCTTACAAGGAGGGAAGACCTCGCAACCTTGGACGCGGTGTATCAAAGCCCAAGAAGAACACGGTGGCTTCGCTGCTGGCTCAATCCCGAGCTGTGGGCCTCAAACCCATGCTGGCAACCCAACAACTGCTTCAACAGGGTGCTGATATCGTAAGTTAATAGAGAAGTGACCAATAAAACTAGTTTTAATTCTTAACTCAATTTTCCAGGAGAAAATACGCTTGGCGTTGAGTGAGGCGAATGCCCACATGGAGACCTCCACGGATTCGGAGAGTGTGGCGGCCGAAAGTGGTCTCTCCGAATCGGAGAGTGAGGATGCCAATATCCTTAATGTGGCAGAGCTAAGGGTGCCACTGGAATTGGGCTGGAAGCGGGAGACCGTGATCCGTGGCCTGACCAAGCAGGGTCAGATCCGTGGCGAGGTCACCTATTATGCACCGGGCAGCACGGCGCCTTTGAAAAGCAACGGACAGGTTTTTGCTGTGAGTTTGTAGGGCGACTTTTTTGAATATTGTAACTCCTGAAACACAGAAACGATAAAAACAAAAACAAGAAATTAATAATCGGAGTTTAAAACCTTTTTTTTTAATTTAAACCTTAACCAAACAATTTAAAAATTGGCAACGATTGAAAACACATTCATTAAGCAATCATCGAGAACCCATCTAATTTGTTTAACTTTCCACAGATCCTGGAGCAGCAGCCATCGAATCTTAGTCGTGAGAACTTTAGTTTCTCCGCGCGAGCCATTGTTGGTTCATTCCTGCAGCCTGCACCTCCGCCGTATGCCAACGACGGCGAGTACATTCGGATGACGGACGAGGATGTGGCCAAGCGGCTAGAGGATCTGAAGGTTTTTACCCGCCAGACACTTAATGTGGAGCAGCGCATCGAGATTGCCAAGCAGCAACAGGCCATGCGTGATGCAAAAAAGCTACAGAAGGAGGAGTTGGCCAGAAATAAGGAGAAGGCGCGCCAGGAGAAGAACTCCAAGTTGGAGCAGCAGCGCAAGGACAAGGAGCTCAAGAACCAGCAAGCCGTCGAAGTAATTTAGAAAGTTAAACTCTTATGAAGCTTATCTTCTTATGCAAAAAACTATTTTTTAGGAGCGCAAAAAGCGTCAGGAGGAGCTAGATCGCCTTAAGCAAGAGGAGCTGCTGAAAAAGCAACAGGTCAGTCGAGTTCACTTCTGGTTGTCCACAATCAGTGCATAATTTGTGTTTTATTTTGCAATAGGAGAAAGAGAAGCGTCGTCAAGAGGCCATTTTAGCCAAGGAACAGGTACATAACGCCTTACCTTCTGTCCAGTTATTGATCCTATTCCGTTCCATATCCGTTTAAAATTGGGGTAGAAAATAGTATATCCTTGTTGAGGGGGCTTTCCGAATTTTTCTTAGTTTCTGGCCCCGCTATCCTATATTGTTGTGAAGAAATTTAAAGATACATCTTAGTATACTGATACAAGGCAGGTAATTTGGGCTGTTTAAAAAGGAATTTTCTAAATTTTGTATCTAAATTAATGGTTCTCAAAAATATGTTCATTGTTTCGTTCTAACTATATTCCTCATCATAGTTTGAGGGATTTTTTATGCTGTTTCGCTGATTTATTTATGTTTGCATTCATACTAGGGGTCATCAAAGCCCAACATTGCCTTCTTGGTATCAGTGAAACATTTTCATTTTATTAACATCAACCTTTTGCTTTATAAATTTAACTTAGGAACTGCAGAAGCAGAAAGAAATGCTGTTGGCTGCCGAAATGGTAAGAAAACTAGGAATAAAATTTTATAGAGTGTACCAAACTCATTGAAATTCGTTTTTTTTTTTTTCAAAAAGGAACGGGAGCGTCGTCGTCAGCACATGAGTCTCATCCGAATGCTAGAACTGCGGCGCAAATTTGAAGATCGCGAAAAGAAGAAGCACCAGCTGGTGCTGGATCGATTGCTTCTCCGTGAGCGTCGCATGGCGGAGCGGAAACGAGATGCAGAGATCCTGCAGTTGATTCGAAGACCCAACGAGGACTCGGAAATGCCGCAAGAATTGGACATCCCAGAGCTGGACAGGATTGCGGGCAACCGTCTGCCCGGCCAGGCGATGGCCGATTTGCTAATGGTCTTCGAATTCCTGCACAACTTCGGGGAGACTCTGGGCTTCGACATGGAGTCGCTGCCCTCGTTGCAGAATCTTCACGATGCTCTAATCAGCGATAGCAGTGCGGATGCTGAAGAGGAACTGCTGTCGGTAATGACGCATCTATTGGTTTGTGCCATTGAGGACCCGGGAGTTCCAAATCCCGGTCGCCACACCACTTTGCTGGGACAATCACTTCGCAATGCTGACATAACCAACTCGAATGTGTCGGAGATCCTGAGGATCTATCTGTATGCCACGGCCACAGGTGAAGTGCGCCAAATGCACGGCATTATTGTGGATCGCGAGCGGGAGAGGAGAGTGCCCGATCATCATCAACTAGATGCCGATTCCGCCACTCACTCGCATTCAGCGAAGAACCAGGAGTACTACAAGCTCCTTCACGAGAACGACACCTGGAAGCTGTCGCACTCGCTGAAGGATCGCCCCTTCGTGGCGTTGAATCCCACCCGGAAAGCCCAAATGCTCGCCCACCTTTGCAATGATCTGCTGATGAACAAGGCGGTGCTTCGCCAGATTGATGGCAGCCTGGAGACCTGCGCCCAGATGCGCAAGGAGAAGTACATGACGGACATGAAGGTGCGCAAGTACAAGGCACTCCACATGCGCAAGGCTCGCATTGAGGCCTATGAACGAGCCCAAGCGGAACGTGAGGCAGCGATGCAGGCGTTGATGGCGCAGCAGAAGCTGGATGCAGAGCGACTAAAGGCGGAGGAGGAAGCCAAGGCCGCGGCAGCCGAGGAAGCAGCAGCTGCAGCAGAAACAGATGGAGAGGCGACCAAGGGCGGCTCATCCAATGGCGAGAAGCCCGAAGAGGAGGATCAGGACGAGCAGGCGGTCACCAAGGAACCCCAGCAGCAGCAGCCTATGGAGGTGGATGGCGTGGTCGATGAGGAATCCCTCGTGAGCCCGGCCAAAAGCATCATCCAAGCGGACAACAGTCTCACGCCCAACAAACTGGATATGGCTACGCCCACCTATCAAATTAATGGATCCAGCACACCAACAACAAGTGGAACTGGAGGAGAGATGAATGCCCTGCTGCAGGCCAAGAAAAGCGGAGCACGCAATTCGATTAACGATGAACACCATCAAGATGTTAGCATTATCGACGATGATCTCTCCGACTTGGATTCGGAGATCACGAATGTCGAGGAGGACGAGGACAATCGCTTGAGTGCCGATGAGTTGCAGAAGAAGCTGGACAAAATTGTGCGAGCTTCGCTTAACTGCAAAGAGGCGCTGGAGAAGAGCACCAATCAGCTGAGAGCCGCCTGCTTTGGACAGGATCGCTTCTGGCGTCGCTACTGGAAGTTGCCCAAGGCGGGTGGTATCTTCATTGAAGCTCTTGAGTCGGCCCAGAATGATATTTGCGGTTATCATGAGGCATTGGAGGGCATGGATGACAAAAAGGATGCAGTTGGCGAGAAGGAGAGCTCACAGAAAGAGAAATCAGGAGTGGAGGAGTCCACTGAACAACCCATGGAGGTGGATGAATCTCTCACCCAAGTGGAAGATGGAGTTTCAGCTCAGAGTGTAGAGCCGACTGAAACTAATCAACAAAATGCCCATCAAGAAGAGGATGATGACGATGATGATGTGACAGAAATCAACAAGGTAGAACCGGAGATTGTTGACCTGGGCGATGATGATGATGATGCAGCACCGCCACTGCCCAAAGTAGAACCTCCCAGACCCGAGATCAAGGTTAAATCAGAGATGGAGCTAATGGGTCCGCCGCCCACGACGATGATAGCCACCAAGACGGACTTTGAGGCGGAGATCAAGATACCCGCCATGCCCGGCATCTTGATGCCGCCTACCCTCAACAATAATAACAACAGCAATAACAATAACAACAACAATGGAAGCGACAACTGTGATAAGTTGGAAACTGGCTTGAATCTGGGATTAGGACAGCAGCAACAGCCGCAGCAAAACTTTAATCAAGCAGTGATCAAGATGGAGGACATGAAGAAGGAGGATGACTGCATCATAGTCTCCACCTCCAGTGGTGACGATACGCCCAAGTGGTTCTCCATTGTCCGCCGCGAAGTGCCGCTGATCAGTGAACTGCCAGCGGAGGAGGGCGGCGTGGTGGGCCAGGAACTGCAAAACAGCTTTGCGAACCACAACTGCTCTGCCCAACTGCAGCTGCAGGGTCATCCCTGGGATCTTATCAACAACATGCAGTACTACTCGATTCCCATGGACGAATGCAAAGTGGACACCAGCAAACTGGGCAACGAGTGCATCTTCTCGCTTAGCGGCCTCGATGAAAAACAAATGCTGGCCAAGGTGGAGGAGTACAAGGCCCACAAGGTGGAGTCAAAAAACGGTCTGGGCTCTCCTCATCGCCACCATGAGACTGAAGATGATGAGGAGCAGGCCAAGCTGAAGTTGGATAAGGTGACCGACACCGAAATGGAAACGGATGCAGATGAGCTGGCTCGCAAGGAGAAGTTTTTTCGCTTGCGCTCTGATGCGCCCCCGGATACGGGAGGAGGGGCCAACGAGGGAGCCGATGTGAAGCCGAAGATTGAATTGCGTTTGGATGAGGCGCTCTCGCAGGCATATTACCACAATATAGCCAATATGTCACTGAGCAGTGTGCAAACTTATATACCCATCGACATACCGCTGCCTCTTTCCATGACCCCCGATGAGCATCGTCTGCTGGAGCAGGTCAAGTTGGCTGGTTTTCCTGAACGAGTTCATGGTGTTTATGTGCCCCGCAGACAGCGATACGGCTGGTGGCAATTGGACGACGAACAGAAGTTGCGACAGCTGCTCAAAACCCTTAATCCATCCGGCTTAAGGGAACGTGAACTGCAGGAGAATCTCCAGCGATTCCTTGGTTTGGAACAACCCTTGGGTGTAAGTTATCAGATGAAATCTGACACCGAGTTTGCGGAGGAATTTCTAATGCCGGACAAGAAGGGCGATTGGAATCCCAAGGTGGCAAAACGGGTGGAACTGGCCCTCATCGAGCAATTGGAATCACTGGAGGACAAGGTGGCCAGTGCTTCCATGCAATTGAAGAACTGGCAATTGCCCAACCGAGTGGAGAGTGAACTAACTTTGGACTCGCAGGAGGATGTCAGCGAAGAGGATTTCGTGAGCATTATACCCATGATTCGGGAGAGGATTATCGATTTGGAGGCCAATATCGAACGGCGTTACTTAAAGCCTCCGTTGGGCTCTCAGACAGGCGATGCCCATTTGGCGGTGATTGCCCAGAACCAGCATACTACAACCCAGACGCAGAATTCCGCATCTGCGGCAGCATATCTCCTGCAGATGCAACAGCAGCAGCAGCAACAGTTGGCCCAACAGCAGCAGCAACAGGGATCGGGAACGGGCAATAGCCTGAATCCCTCATCCTTCAATGAACGCACAATGGCTCTGGCTGCAGCAGCAGCATCGTCGGGAACAGGAACCGCAGCTGCAGGAGGCAACGCGGCACCCGGAGGAGGAGTAACCCCCTGTGAATCCGGCAGTGGAGAACCGAACTCCGGCAATGCATCACCGGCAAGCAATTGTGACAGCGATCGGGATGAGAAGGTGGAGCACATTCCCAAAGGATTGGTTCAGTGGCGCGATGCAGTTTCCCGATCGCACACCACCGCCCAGTTGGCCATGGCCCTGTACGTCCTGGAATCCTGCGTGGCCTGGGACAAAAGCATTATGAAAGCGGTAAGACCAGGAGAGATTTGGAATCCTTTGGAATCCTTTGAAATCCCCAGAAATAAAACCGAAAACCTGCTTGGCACCCGTCCCTTTTTTTTTGTGGTCCATTCATTGTTGTTTTGGCTGCACACACAATCTAACACCCACCAATTACACCCTCACATATTTATACACACAGGCATTGCATAATCATTTTAAATTTAACATACTAACCGTACTCACCACAACTGAAACCAAAGCGTTAAAAAAAGGGAGAGTTGAAATCACGATTGTTATTAATATTTTGTTAAACCAACCAACCTCAAAATGCTTTGTAACTATTATGTAAAAGGAATATCTATTTATTTATTTATATTCTTTTCGGCTGTTCAAAACAATATATTTTGAGATTCAACTTTTTCAGTTCAACAAAATGTTAAACTGTTTTTTAAATTTTAATTATTTGAACTAGTTTTTGTAATGTTCTCATTTAAACAATTTTTAGACTTGCTTTCTAATACTTTAATTATTTTGAGGCTTAGATGTAGTTGTTTTTTTCGTACAAAATGTTTATTAAAAAGTAGAAATTGAATGAATTTTGAATCGTATGTAATGTTTGAAGGCATATACAACATAGTTTAAAATATTTTCAAATAGATTTTTAAGTAGCAATCGTGATCGCGCCCTTTTTTTGTTTTGCTTTGTAGCTAATTAGTTTTTAAAGCCCCTCTGCATCTCAAAAAAAACTGGAAGTTGCCTGTGAAATTAATTTAAATTTTGTTCGTTTCTTCTTCCGATTTTATTTTTCTTTCTTAACTGTCTCTTGCTGAATGTTTGACTTGTTTGTTGCTTGTGGTGTTTTATGGTGTTCTGGTTAAAAAAATATACAAAAATTTAACGCTCTTGTACTCACACACACACATACATAATCCACACCCACATTCCTCACACACACATATACATGAATGCTTTTGTTGCCCGTTACCGTTTACCGATAACCGTTAAACCCCTTCCAAAAAAAATCCACCAAACCCACCACGACTGATTTCCCCACCCCTCAAAACGAGCCGTTTCGAACTGCCATCCGAAAAGTATGCAACAAAAAACAAGTCCAGCAGGAAGAAGAGCAGCTCCAAAAAGCAGGCGACACCCGTAAACAAAAAGCAGCAAAAGAAGAAAAAGGAGCAGCAATTGACCACCAATGGAAAAAAGAAAGAAACCCCAACCAAAAAGCAAGAGAACAAAGCACCGCTGAGCATCAAAATCAACCTCAAGGCTCTGGCGCAAAATGGACAGGACTCACAGCAACAAACCCAAACAACAAAAGCCCTTATCCAAACCATGTCCAAATCCAAATCCCTATCCCCATCCTCCACTTCAAACACAAGCGACTCCGACTCGGACTTTGGCAAACGGACGACGAAGAAGAGTGGCGGCGGCGGCAAACGTAGACGCTCCTCGGCCAACAATACAAACTCTAGCAAATATTCCAATTCCTTCCAGAATTGCCAGTTCTGCACGTCCGGCGAAAACGAGGACAAGTTGCTACTGTGCGACGGCTGCGACAAGGGCTATCACACCTATTGCTTCAAGCCCAAGATGGACAACATTCCCGATGGCGATTGGTGAGTACCTGTACCAGTCCCCTCAATCTCTCTATACATCCTCATTCCTCACATGTCACATGTCATAGACTCTAAAAAGAAAAACACATTAATCCGCGTTGTCTTGTTAAGCGTTGATCGTTAACCGTTGAGAAAAACTGTGGCACTGTTACTCTCTGTTCCCAAAACGATAACCTGAAAATTGAACTCTACCTTGGTCTACAATTGGTTAATCTTCCACATCTCCTCTTTGCAGGTACTGCTACGAGTGCGTGAACAAGGCCACCAATGAGCGCAAGTGCATCGTTTGCGGCGGCCATCGTCCCTCGCCGGTGGGCAAGATGATCTACTGCGACTTGTGTCCACGTGCCTACCATGCCGACTGCTATATTCCCCCGCTGCTGAAGGTGCCGCGTGGCAAGTGGTACTGCCATGGCTGCATCTCCCGGGCGCCTCCGCCCAAGAAACGCAGTGCTGGCGGAACGGCCAGCAGCAGCAGCAAATCCAGGCGGGACAGGGAACGGGACTCGGGCGGCTCAGCCAAGCGGCGCAGCGACAGCAGCAAGACACCACATCAGAGCATGGAGCACATACAGCAGCAGCAGCAACAGCAGATTCCACTGGCAGGCGGGGACACCCACCATCATCATCATCATCAGCAGCCGCCGTCGCTGAACTCCTCGCACGATGAGTCGATGAATTCGCTGCCGGCGGCGCCTCTGAGGTGAGTGTGGGGGCCTGAGGGCGGCTGAGGGGGCGGCGGAGATCACGGTCCGGGTTCCAGTTTATAATGCCTCTGCTCTCTGCAGTCCGGCGCACTCGGTTGCTTCGGCCACGACCTACGATGACCAGCATCATGCCAACAACTCGGTCGACGGCAGCAGCCGCTTCCAAGCGCATCTCATCCCCCCGCCCAATAATGGCACGGCGGCGCTGCTGGAAGATGTGTCAGCCAATGCCAGTGTGATGCCCAGCAGTTATCCGGCTTATCCGCCAGTTGCGGCGGGCAATTTCTCGGCTGGATTGATTAACCCGGTGCCGGTGCCGGTTCCGGTGCCACCAGCGATGCAGTTCGCCAATGTGGTCGCCATGTCACCACGGGCCGTCACGCCCACCCGCACCCGAACGCCCACACCGACGCCGGCGCCCACTCCGCCACCACCGCCGCCGACACCGCTGCTCATGCAGGCCTCGCCCACAGCCGCCCTCCACGTAACCGCCTGCCAGTCGCCGCCCCAACAGCATCCGCATCCGCTGATGACCATGCCCTCGCCACCGGCCATCGGAGTGGGAACGGGAACCAACCAAATGTCGCCACCACCCATTAACATACATGCCATTCAGGAGGCCAAGGAGAAGCTGAAGCAGGAGAAGAAGGAAAAGCACGCCACCAAAAAGCTCATGAAGGAGCTGGCCGTCTGCAAGACGCTATTAGGGGAAATGGAGGTGAGCATAGATTACTGAACCTTTAATAGGTAGCTATATATTGTTTCTCTATTCTCGCAGCTCCATGAGGACTCGTGGCCATTTCTATTGCCAGTAAACACCAAGCAGTTTCCCACATATCGCAAAATAATCAAATCGCCCATGGACTTGTCCACGATCAAAAAGAAACTGCTGGATTTGACGTGAGTACATCAGCTAAAATATATAAAAACCTATATATAACTGACAAATTGTACCCCTATTTAAATAGCTATAAAACCCGTGAGGACTTTTGCGTGGATGTGCGTCAGATCTTCGATAACTGTGAGATGTTTAACGAGGACGACTCGCCCGTTGGCAAAGCGGGGCACGGCATGCGCAAGTTCTTTGAGTCGCGTTGGGGCGAGCTGACCGACAAACACTCCTGATCCTGCACCACCATCGGCCCGCCACAGATCCAAATGGCTACCACCAACAGCAGCATAGCCACCGGCACCACAACTACCACCATCACCACCACCAACAACATGGCCGGCACAGCCACACATCCCATTGAGATGGTCACTCTGATTGCCACATCGCAAGAGGAGGACGAAGGAGCCGTGGAGACGACAACAGCATTAACTGAAGCAGCACAATTTTGGTCAAGAGATTAGAGTAGATTAAGCAGAGATTGTACATAATTAGGGTGGATAGAGACGGTTAGTTATAGTCTAGAAGCGCAGCATACACACATTAATATATATTTATATATAGTAGATATATAAACATACACGCGAGAGTATTCAACGTCCTACGTCGGTCAAGACCTTTGAAAGAGGTATCTTTGATTAAATTAAATCATCAGCCAAGGCGAACAACATCAACAAGTATGCAAGTGAAAAATTGTATTTAGTTTTTTAAGCATCCAAGGGCGCAAAAACAGCAGCAGTATAAACACTTACTATTAGCCGACATAAATTAGCAGTTAAAAATCGTATCGATTAAGAAGCCATCTACAGTAGGCGCCCGACAGAATGAACGCTGGCAAATGACAAATGAACACGTACAAAAACTGTCTACCAATTTCCGATCCGATTCGATCGATCGATCCATCGTTTGAACAGTATTTTGTGCACAAAGCTGCGTTGCTTTGTTTTCTACACTTATAATTCTAACTCTAATTTTAACGATTATTTTTAAAGCACCAACGAAGCGCTCATTTAAGTTTTAAAGTGTATTTTGTACTTATAGCAACTCCAACATCTGTATTTAAACGTATATTAACTAAAGCTAACAATTGCCCAGGCAAAATGCGAACAATTATACTCAAAAGGCGGTGCGAGGATGATTTGTAAATGTAAATGAAAGCAAATTAAAATTAAATGTATTAAATTATTTATTCTGTGTAAATTTTCCACACTGTAGTTGGTATTTTGAATCGTAACTTTTGGTAAATTGCAAATACAACTCAAAATCAAATCGAAATTGAAAATAAATTTAAATTTAATAATCGAAAAAAAAAACAAAACGAAGCGAAGCCATGGAAGAGAGAGGAGTGAAGTGAAGTAAGGTGGACATATCCTAGCGGGATCTAAGCGCAACTCCAGGACAGTATTAGAGGCAGTAGGATACGGAAAGCGAAGCATCTGACATTTCAGCTGTATATAGGAGATTACTCGCATACAAAACTCAAGCCGATGCAAGCAATACAGATTAGCCTATACAGACGGTGAAATTGTTGGGGGAATTACAAATGTTACATATACATTACTATATACACAGAATAACAATTAGCAAAGCAATGATATTTACACGAACTACATTTTTGAATAAATCGAAACTCATTTGCAGTGCAGCACAATAATTGAATGAAATTAAAAACAGAAACATAGAAACGAGGAACGATTTTAGAGGGAGCGAAGGCGGCCTGTCAATAGTTTTTGCAACAAGACGATAATAATTTAGAACACCAGACCAGAACTACCTACCTACAACTCACAGATAACAAAATAGCCAGCCGAACACAGAATTAGTTAAACGAGAGCATGTATTTTTTAGCACAGCCATTATAGTTTGTAAAGAGTTCAATATTAAAGTATATTATTTGGATCCGTGTTTACCAGACGACAGAGAGTGAGAAGTGACAGAAGGATGCATTCGCAATGAGTTGCTTGTGTAAATAGGATGCGAAAAAGCCCCTGACGAATCCATGCATGTACATTGTATATAAGATATAGATACGCATTAAGGCATTAGCTCCAAGTCCACTACCCTTCCCCGCATTACCGATCTGGTACGAGCATGTTATTGGCATTCATACAGTTGTGTCACTTCACTATGCAATAATTGAACAGCAAACAGCAAATATTTGCCCCGTTTGAAATGGCAATTACAATTGCAATTGCCCAAAATCGAAAATCGAAATTGCATGGGGACGATTCTGGAAGCTCCCCGCCATAACATTAACTGCATACATAATGGAATCTTGATTTGTATTTATGTGTGTTCGTGGTGATACAACAGATATATATACACATATAGAAATATATATATTTTAAAATTATATGTACCCAATCTATGCATATGTGAACATAACTTACTCATTAAAAAATATTAAACGATGGATATACTCGATAACCAAGCATCCATATTATGATTGTGAGGGGATAGCCGCCAGCTATAACCACATATGCTAAAACAAAACAAAACAAAACAAATACAGAAAAATTAAAAAAAAATTAATACATTTTGGTGGGGCATTTTCGACATTTGTGCACAAGGAAAATATAAGTAAATCATATAAAACTTAAAAAATAAAGAAGTATTTAATGGGGATGGCATAGATTTGTTTATTGGTAAGTAATATAAATCCTTTAAATCCTTGTATACTTTGGAGTAAGGGACTATTTTTTATTATACAAAAAAAAAATTGAGTCGTTGAGAAGATTTCAATGCTTATAAAAGGAATAAACACATTATAGTGCTTTTGTTTTTGGTAGACGGATTATTTAATAATGAAATCTCAAAATCTTATAGTTTTGGAAACGCTAATTCAATAATCGTATATATTATGATTTTCTTCTTATATGTAAATCATATACATTTTACTAAAACCTTACTGTTTTTTTAATGACCAAAATGACCAAGAAGCTGAGTGCAAGACACGTTCCATCGACAGCTGACTGAGCCGTTTCCGATTCGATCTGACCAATCCACATCATGAACACATGTTAACCACAAGCTTTTGAGTCTGGCCATTGGATTGAGTTTACCGTTCCATTAAAGCCATGCTTCGTTGGCTTTGACAGGCCACAATCATACAAATTAAACGGGCAGAAAACGGAACAATCTGCATTTTGAAAGCGCATTAAAAACTCACCGCAACTGTCGGATCGGCGGAGATCTTTCAAAGGCGGTCTTTTACGATCATTTTTTTTATTTTCCCATCCAATTCAGGCTTTAAAATCAATCGAGCAACAGCATAAATCATTTCCTTTGTTACTTGTGCAAAATTTGAATTGCTGACAGATTGGCAAGCATTTTTAGGGGCCCCTGTTTTACTGAGAAATCTTTCGGAAGCATAAAAATCAAATTTTGTTGTGGGAACTGCGGTAAGCTGAGGTGTTAATATCTGATTTTCTGATTTTAATCCCCAGCAATCAGCGTCCGAAAGCATGACAAAAGATGTGCTTAACTTTTTTCCAGCCTCGATCTCTGTTCGCCAGTATTGACAGTTGGAAACTCGAAACGCTTTAAAAATCGCTGATTTATGTAATTATTCGCGGCGACAAGAATTTCGTGCGCAGCCCAGCACTGAAAAAAATAAAAAAAAAACCCAAAAGTGGAAAGGGACAACTGCAGAGGAGGACCATGACTGGAGATTGGGTCCGCAGCTCCAGCCACATTATCAAAACATCATGGAAGATGACCAAATTAACTGGGACCCAACCGAAGAAGACAGACTGCAGAGCCACACTGCGAGGAAAGCTTTATCGATGTACTATTCTCAAAATGTGAATTAATTTTTTACATATGATTTAAAATGGTTGTTTTTATTGAGTTGATTTACATTTAAATCAATAGGCCAAGCGATTCTCAGAATTTCTTAAACTATCATTATCCCTATTTAAATAGGAATAATATACTTTCATTTGAAAGATAAATATGTTTAAACCACAATTTCCAAAATAGATTTAAAAAATATTTGTAAATTATTTAACTGATAGTAAGTGTTTATTTGACCTACTTCTTATATACCAACATTTGATTAGCTATTGGATTACACATTTTTAGTGACTAGTTAAGTTTTTCAATAATTTTTCCCTGTGCTGTTGATTCTTGAGCCCATCTTCACTGCAATGGCGACTACTTAGCGGGGCTACCTGGTCAGAACCACATCCCTGAACCCCTCTTCCCAATCCCTCTGTCTGCTGAGGGCAATAAAATTGACTCCATCGAAATTAAGAACGAACCAAACAAAATTGTATTGAAAAGTCTTTGTGGAACTGCAGTCGAGATGAGGAGGGGGGCAGCCAACTAATTTAGTGCCCTGCACCGAAACGAGTTTGCCGCCGCTGCATCCTCCCATTCCACTCCATCCCAGATATACCCATATCCCATATACATATGCATAAATACATATGGAAGCAGTCGTGGCTGTGGGTTCGCTGCCCAAAATGGAGATTTTCGAGCTTGCGGCCAGTCGTGGGTCTCATTTCTGATTTTGGCGGCCTCTTGATTGGGACATTAATTAAGACACAAATTGCTGTACCAAAATGTGCAGACCAAGAAAGACACAATATCATCCGTGCATACGAAAATAATTACACTCGATACCCCATGCATATTTATGCTGTTCTGAAAATTAATGACAGCTCAATGGGGGCCATGGTTTTATAATGGATTCCGGGATAGTAATGAGCTTAAGAAATCGGAAAAATGTGGGGAGAGCGACTAATTTAATTTAACCATGACCACGAATTCCGGGGGAGATAATAGAAAACAGATTTTCATTGAAGACTTCAAAGTCTTTCTTTCTAATTTTTATCACCTACAGTAATACTTTCCTTCAAAAAGTATTAAGTTTAAAGTTTTAAGAAAATCAAATGTAATTAGCTTATGCCTTGCTTGATATTATATGTTTTTTAAAACAATATTTAAGGAACAACAGCTGGTTTATTTCTCCGCATACCTAAATATACATCCTGTCTTAAAATTTCCCTTACAATTGTCAGTTGATGCAGAAATGTCTCTTATATGTATATGCGCATATAGAGGGCGGGGTAAGCTGAAGGCCAGGGATCGATGGCTACTGACGATGCTGATGATGCCATCTGTGCCGGGCAGCCTGACATGGCAGTTGCTTGTCCTCCTCCTTCCCAATCTTCTCCTCATTCTCCACTCGGCTCCTCTCTCTATTATCGCTGCTTCCCGATCGTCTTGGTAGTTTTCTTGGACTTGGACCTGAAGCTGGACTTGGACTTGGACTTGGGCATGGAGTTGGAGTTGGACAACATCATATTGGTGACACATGAACACGATTGCGGGCTTCCAGGCAGGAGTCAGTCTATAAAGTTGGCAAGCGGTTGCTGTGGATGTTGCTGCCGTGCTGTTGCTGTTGCCATGGATGTGCAGTTGCTGTTGCTGGTTTGTCTGCCAGTACAACGTGCAACATTTGCATTTTTTTAATTTGCTACAACTGCAACGTGCGGCGAGTGCACTCCATCTGCGTTTCCTGACATGGCAGTTGCTGGTCTTCAAAATGAAACATCTTTTATGATAGCTTTGTAGGATTGGTAAAGTTAGTTTAAGTTGATCACCCTATAGTTAAGTCAGGAATATCGGCAGAACCCATCACCTGAAAATCTTTTGTATTTATCACCTACAGTTCGCTTCAAATTTATTTAATGAATATCCCTTCTATGTTTTTGTTAAGTTTTAACCGATGCCATTCAAAGGTATCGAAGATTTAAACTTCTAATATAATATTCTAGAAGTGATTTCTTGGTCAAGTGCGATATCATAATGGGAAAAGCTTAGAGGCTTGTGTTTCTTCCTGTTTGTGTATGGCTTTCAAGCCATCTGCGTTTCTATCTCTCTTTCCATGTTGGCGTGCGCTCGGGTTAAGTTGGGTAAGGTCCGTGCCATTTAGGGACCTCCTTCATTGGGAAATGGAAACATCAGGGCCCAGCCCCGGAGTCGTTTTTTACGGCCCGAAAAGGAGCCACTCAGCCAACAGATGGCCGGGGGTCAGGTCGTCTTAAAGCTTGCACAGAAAATAATATAATCAGAGATCAAGTGCTCCATGTGATCTTGATCAAGGATATTTTTACAATTGTTACGTGCCTAAAGAGTTGAACATAATGCTTATGAATTTTCGATCTTGGCAACATCAT